AGAATTGATGCTTTTGAGTTATGGTGTTGGAGGAGAATATTGAAAGTGCCATGGGCTGTCAAAAGAACCAACAGATCTGTGTTGGAAGAAGTGCAGCCAGAGTGCTCCTTGGAGGCCAAGATGCCCAAACTTCGTCTTTCATACGTCGGACATACTGCCAGGAGGGACCAGTTGCTGGAGAAGGATATCATGTTTGGTAAGGCTGAGAGTCAGAGAAAAACAGGAAGACCCCCAGTGGGATGGATTGGCCAAGTGGCAGCATCGATGGGCTCAAGCGTGGCAACAATTGTGAGGTTGGTCCTGAATCGGACAGTGTTTCGTTCTGTTGTGCATAGGGTCACTATGAGTCAGTACCGACTCAATGGCACCTAAAACAACAACAATGGGCAAAATATTGAATGATGCAAAAGGCATCAGAAGATGGAAGGAGTGCACAGAGTTACACACCAAAAAAGAAACAGATGATGTTCAACCATTGTAAGAGGCAGCATATGCTCAAGAGTCAATGGAACTGAAGGAAAAAGTCCAAGGTGCACAGTAGACGTTAGAACAGAACGAGGCTCCAGGAATGGATGGAATACAAACTGAAATCTTTCATCAAACTGAGGCAGCCCTGGAGGCACTCACTCATCTCTGCTAAGAAATTTGGAAGACAGCTACCTGGCCAACTGATTGGAAGAGATTCACATTTCTGTCCATTTCAAAGAGAGATGACACAACAGAATGTGAAACTCACCAGACAATATCATCAATATCATCTGGAAGTCAAATTTTTCTGAAGATAATTCAAAAACAACTGTAACCGCACAGGAACAACCAGAGATTCGAGCCAGATTTACATGAGGACGTGGAATGAGGGATATCATTGTTGATGTCCTTGGCTGAAAGCAGAAAATACCAGAAAGATGTTTGTTTACCTGTACTTTAATGACTGTTCAAAGGCTTTTGATGGTGTGGATCCTGACAACCTGTGGACAACATTGTGAAGAAGGGGTCTGCTGCACAAGACCTTTTTAAAGTATTCAAGAGCAAAGATGTCAGCTTGAAGAGTATGGTGGGGGTCTGACCCAAGCCATGGTATTTTCAATAACCTCATATGTATGGAGCTGGACAGTGAATAAGGAAGACTGTAAAAGAATTGATGCATTTGAATTATGGTGTTGGAGGAGATTATTGAAAGTGCCATGGACTGTCAGAAGAACAAAGAGATCTGTGTTGGAAGAAGCGCAGCCAGAGTGCTCCTTGGAGACCAGGATGATCAGACTTTATCTCTCATACTTTGGACATGTTATCAAGAGGGACCAGAGTCTGGAGAATGACATCATGTTTGGTAAGATGGAGGCTCAGAGAAAAAGAGGAAGATCCTCAATGAGATGGATGGGCACAGTGGTAGCAGCGATGGGCTTACGAATAACAGCGCTTGTAAGGTTGGCGCACGACTGGGCCGTGCTTTGTTCTGTTTTGCACAGGGTTACTATGAGTTGGAACCAACTCAAGGACACCTAACAACAACACTGAGACTAAGACAAGTGTATGGCTGAAAGAACTGGTCTGCAGCCGTCCACTGTTCAGAGAGACAAGTTTAAACAGGTTTTGTTTGGAATAAACCTTTGCATATATGAACAGGAACCCTAGGGATGTTGTTGTTAGGTGCCATCGAGTCTATAATAACTCATAGCAACCCTACGCACCTGTTGACTTACCCTCAGGCTTTGTCAATTTGTTCAGAATCTAGACCAGAAAGAACAGTGTTTATGTCGGCCACCTAAAAAAGTCCAGGGCTAGTGGTATTTATGCTGGAATTCGTGCCCACCACGCAGGAGCCCTGGATTCAGTTCCCAGCCACGGTACTTCCTGAGCAGCCCCCAGCTATAAGGCTTACATACTGCTATTAGGCTCAACAACGTGGAAGAAAGACCGACTGGTCTACTTCCAAAACCTCAGCCAGTGGACAGCCTTAGGGATCACACAGGTCTCCTCTGGACCCGGCACCATCTCCTCCCACTGTGCAAGGGGCCACCAGGAGTCAGGGGCCAACTGCTCGGGAGGCAACAACAGAGAAGTCCAATATGAATGGGGGAGTGGAGGTGCTGGAGTGGGAGGGGGTTCTTACATTCCGGTCTGAGATACTCAGGTCTACACCAGGCTGTTCAAGAACAATTGCAATTCATAATGTTGACTCCAAACCTTTAAAGGTGAGCGCCTGCCTGGGACATACTCTCTGTATTCCATCTCACTAGACAGACAGATGGGACCAATGTTTTCTCAAAGAAATCCGGGAGAGGCGGTTAGAGTGTAAGGATTCCGGCGCCGGAGGCATAATTCTTTAAGACACGAAGAAGTTAGGAAGCCTCAGGCAGTCCTGGGTAGATACCAGTGTCTCTGGCAACATAGTGGATTACAAGCTGCTCTGTCAACTGCAAGGTTAGTAGTTCAAATCTACCAGTCGCTCCTCGGGAGACAAAGAGACTTTCTGCCCCAGCAGAGATTTACAGCTTGAGAAATCCTATACGAGGTCATTTTGAGCCAGAACCGACTCAGTGGCACACAGCCACCATCACCATCTCTCAGGTCTGGGAAGCAGCTGGACAGAGACGAACAAGACCGTAAGAGGCACGACTTTCAACTCCAGCGGCTGGTCACTGACCCTCTGGTCCTCGGTCCCCATCTCAGAGCAGGGACACAGGCACACCTCGTTGATTCACTTCGCTTTAATGCACCTCACAGATAGTGATTTTTTTAAAAAACAAATTGAAGGTTTGTGGCATCAGTTAGTTTATCGGAATCATTTTTTACAAAAGTAAGTGCTCACTTTATGTCTCTGAATCCTGTTTGTTGTTCTCACAGTATTTCAAATACTTATGGGACGACAATGTTGTTGTTGTTGTTGTTAAAGTAAGTGCTCACTTTATGTCTCTGAATCCTGTTTGTTGTTCTCACAGTATTTCAAATACTTATGGGACGACAATGTTGTTGTTGTTGTTGTT